TTTGCAGAGCATCTGATTTACATTTCAAGAACTTTGGTTTTCCTTTTTTAAACCAGTATGAGCTAGTAACATAACAAAATTTTGATAAACACTTGTGCCCTGCCTATGCTGTAACCATAATCATTGATGCTAGAGGCAGGAAATTGCATTTGTACTGTAACAAGGCCACTGAGACAACATTGTTTCTTAAAGTATAGGATGCAGCGGAGGGGCTCTTGCATCTATTAAAAATGGGATGGTCTCATCTTATGCGTGCGCATTCTCCTCAGAATTGCAGCTAAGTGACTGTTTTTAGTATAAATACAAGGATTCCTTTGGCCTCGGCTCCTTCGGTCTTATCTGCATAGTGTCGGCCATTACAGCTCCTAGTAGGGAGGGGTTGATGGGTTCTTTGTGAGCATATGCAGTGTACTCTGTTGAAGTGTATAGCCTTGGAACTGGAAAAAAGCCATGTACTTAGACCATACACTTATTTGATAAGCAGTGCTCCTTATGTGTACAGCACCCCTGCACTGTGATATTAGCAGGCCTGAAAACAAACTATGTGCCTTCATCTTCAAGGCCTCTAACAGTCAGTTTCAGGCCTGCTAATTCCCATAATTTCCCTGGTTTCTGAGAGTCACCGTTTGAAAGATCATTTTCCTTTGCTCTTCCTGGTGGAGTTAACTGTACCATTAGTTTCAAACTAGTCTGGTTAGGTACAGTAAAGTTAACTCTGCAGTTAAAGGGAGCACAATTGTGAAATATGCACTTAGGCATTTTATGGATGTAACCAGCATGCACGTAGCCAGGGTACCCTAAACCAGTGTTTCCCAACCCTTTCCAGCCCAAGCCACACTTAAATTAATAGAACTTTTCAGCGGCACCTGTTAAGGCATTCCCCATCCTCATACCAATTGTAGCTCATTGGCATGGCAAAATTCTCCGTCATACCTGTTCATTTCTGATGGCACACTTTTGTGCCATGGCACACTGCTTGGGAAACGCTGCCTTAAACAATGGGCAGCAAATTAGGACTCGCGTTGTGTTTCACAGTTACGTAAATTATGTGCTTATCTGCTATGCATATGTGGAGTACGCTGTAAATGGGCATTAACATTGCCTTTGGAAATTTAATCCAAACATTTATTTCATTTACTATATTACCTTGATTAAACAGAGCACTAAGAGCCAGGACCGCAAATCGGAGAGCAAAGAGAAACAAGATATCTTGTCATTTGATAAAATCAAAGAACAGCGAGAACGTGAACGCCAGCGACAGAGAGAACGAGAAATCAGAGAAACAGAAAGACGACGGCGGTGAGTTTCATATTGACGCTTCTTTCCCAGCAGAGGTATTTTCTTTCAGAGTAGCACCTGGGGGCTTTTCCTCACTATTAGTCAGTATTTTTGACAGCCTTCAGCTTGCAGTATCTAGACTGCTGTTTGCAAAATAATCCATAGATTGACAACAATCTCTTTAATGGTAGGTGGTGTTCAAATGTGATTCCTGATGCTAAAACATAGACAAAGTTTTCTTACCTTTAACAGCTGTTCTTAGTGGTGGGGAGATGAGAAGCTTCTCCCCAGGAATGAAACATAATTTACCTGTGAAATACACAATAATGGATAAGATCAGGGAAGGGGTCGTTAAAACTGACTACTGTTCACTGCAGATAACTTATGAAGGTTATTATTAGTCCCTTGTTTTGACTGCAAAACTTGTTCACAAATGACAGTTTTGTGCTGTGCTTCATTTTATAGCTGAACTTATTAAAGCAAAGGGAATGTTATATTGCATACTTGATACTTGACCAATTTTTGCAAGTTTAGAGCAGTTTCACATTTGCTGTCATGCAAGAGATAAAATGGCCATAAAACATGTAAAAGGATCATTACTTTGAAAACGTATCTGATAACACAGAACAGGAGAACATTATCCTACAATGACATCGTATTCTGCTGGCAGTGTCTGTTACAGAAATGGCACATTTTTGGATTTTGTTACCTTGTGTTTAGCATTATTTATGTTCAAAATTTACTGTCTTGTATTTTTTCCATTGGTTAGTGTTTCTATTTTCCTAATAGCCTTAGTCACAAAAGGCTTAATGGATTTTGCTCTAAAACTTTGCACTTCAGTATTCTCTCAAAGACAGACTACTGAAAGATTTTTCACATTTTACATTTCATTTTGCTAAAACGACTCTGAACCTTGCTTATATTTAATGACAGTCTCTTTGGGGCAGAAGTATTTCCCTTTTGTCAGAATGGCACACCTCCTTTTTCCTTTGACGCCAGGTAAAGAATGTATAGAAAGCTTGCTGGCCCAAAGAAAGCATTTTCAAAATTGCTTTCAAGAAAAGGAATGGTTACCACTATACACTGCTTGCCTCTTGTCTCACGTGTTTATTGATTTTTATTTATTTCTTTTTAAACTGGTCTAACTGGCTATGAGTTTAGTGAGGAGGAAAATGCCCAAGCTAACGGGATTGTACAGGGTGATCTAAGAAACTTATCACAACCTGCCCTTCTCCCTGAAACTGAAGGTGTGCACTTCTTATGATAAAGCAAATCTCCACTTGAATTACACAGAGAGCAAGAACGGCGAGAGAGAGCACAACGTCTTCAAGCCATTCATGAACGGGATGAAAGACAGAGGCTCCAGAGAGAGCGTGAGCGACTTGAATTTCAAAGGCAGCGTCTTGACAGGGAACGTATGGAGAGGGAGAGACTGGAAAGAGAGAGGATGCATATAGAGCAAGAGAGGAGAAGAGAACAGGAGCGCATTCAACGGGAGAGAGAGGAGCTGCGGCGCCAGCAAGAACAGCTGCGCTATGAACAAGAGCGGCGGTCTGCACTGAGACGACCGTATGACCCTGATGGAAGGTAACGGTGCTTGCAAGGCAGTTTTAGAGACCCTCTGTGGTGTGAGGGCAAAGTAACCAGGAAATGGATTTTATGCTGCCAGTAAGTGTGCAGAGAACAGGTGCTGAACTTCACAGCATCGCCAAACTGTTCGCAGTTCAAAGTTTGTTTACAAGTTGCTGTTCACACTTTGTTGTATTAATTTGATCTTTCTAAAAAGGCACAATCAGCAAAATGCACAGATGTGTTAGGCATTGCTGCTCTGAGTTTGCTTTCTGAAGTGCCTTAGAAAACATGATGCAGTCAGACAGCCATAGTAGGTTATGGATTCCATCCATTACCATGCCATGCTCTCTGAGTGCTGTGACATGAACTGCCTTGCTGCTTCTTGAAAGAAGGAAGTAACTTTCCCCCTCATACTTCGAATCGGCTTGCAGCTACCTGCATCATGATCTGTATGGCAGTGGGAGTTTCTTTCTCGCTTGGCTCTCTCAAGCTTTAAATCTGCTTTGTTCTTGTTTTTTTTCTTACCCCAGTGTGGAGAAAGAAGCTTATACCTTATCAAATTACTTTTCGCTTTGATCAATTCTCTGGCAGGTTTTCACAAACCTCTCAGTTTATGGTGCTAGCTGAGTACTGAATTTTAAAGTGGACCAGGTTGCATAAAGAAAAATACATCATTCATAAGTTGGGCACCTGTGTTTCTGTTCAGAAAATTGTTGTTTCTGTGTCGCATTTACTTCTATTAAATGATTTGTGCTAGGGCATGATTAGCCTTTCACAGAGTTGCTAATAGCCAGAAATGTACTTAGCTCCCCTGTTTCTTGTAATTGTAGGAACATGTCTATATGTCCCCATCTTAAGGCTCTGAGGATATAAAAACAAACCAAAAAGCTGTAGCATTCAGTGACTCCTGTTAATACTGACCTTGCAGGATTACAAAGCTCTGAATATGGCCGAATGTTTTCAGGCATTCTGAATCAGTGTCCTTTGGGATGCCACTTCACACACAACTGCAAAGGTGGAAGTCTTGTAAAATGATAGAAAAAGTTGCTTGAATTGTAAGATCTTTGGGGGTTTGCTCACCTGTTTTTGATGCACCTGAAATCTAGTCACTTGGGTATAAATTTACCCTTGGTGTTCAATTCCAGTGAACTGGATTTTGCTAAGGATGAATTTGGCTGTCATTCACCAGCCACTTGAGTACAATTTTTTTGTAAGGAGAGAGAAAAAGGCCAGTGAAATGTACATAACACTGTTTGATGACATCGGTTATTCTCGTCTGACTTCTACAGATACGAGGCTCAAGGGAGGGTGAATGACTTAAATTGTGGATTTGAATCCTCAGGCGCTGATGTCAGTAGGATGGAATAGCTGCTTCATTGTAACACATTCTGAGATTGAAGGGTGTGTAGTAGTGATAGTTAACTCTTTTCTGAAATTGAAATGCCACATCAGTCTGGTGTGTCAGCAATCTCAGTTATTTAAAAAATAATTACTGCAAGTTCAGATTAACTAACTAGATGCATCAACTGAGACTTGATTTGAAGACAGCAAGAGAAGAAAAATCATCATCCCAGTATATGTTTTGTTACAGGCGGGACGATCCGTATTGGCCAGAGGCAAAACGAATGGCGATGGATGATAGATACCACTCTGACTTCAGCCGCCAAGAGCGCTTCCATGATTTTGACCACAGGGAACGTGGCCGTTACCAAGACCATTCTATAGACAGGTTAGTAAGGTGACATTTTTTTAGAACCTGACTTACTATTTTCCTTACAAAATAGCCCAGAAACAAAAGTAGGGCATCACAATGCATGCTCATCTGCAAGCTTGTGTATGTGGTGTTGTCTGTTATTTTTAGAACTGCCTTGAAAAATGTTTGTTCATATTTGTCTGAAAAACATAGCAGTTTCATGCCAGGTGTTTGGAACAAGCCTGATAAAGCCCCCTCTTATACACGCTGCGTGGATCTCCCGTGCTGAACTTGGAAGTAGAAAGCTTCTGTACAGATAACGCTTATACAGGGTTCTCAGCCCTGCTTCCTAGCTCTTTAGCACGAGACTAGTGAAAATCATCTTTTGGTTTTAAAGTTGTGCTTTCTCCTTTGACAATGGAAGTCTAGTGCATGGAAGGCGAAGCTGGTTGTTACATATTTGTAGACCTGCACCTTTTTTTCTCCAAACCATGTGAAAACACTTGTTAGAATCATAGGAAGTTTGGGGTGGAAGGGGCCTCGGGAGGTCTCATCTAGTCCAACCCCCCTGTTCAGAGCAGGGCCAGGCCCAACTAAACCATCCCAGCCACAGCTCTGTCTAGCTGTTTTTTGAAAATTTCCCAAGGGTGGAGCTTCCACCACCTCTCTGGGTTCTGCAGACATTCACATTTGGACTTTTTTACAGCAGTTTCCAGGGGTCTGGGCTGCAGATAGTTACAGCCTAGAGGTCGCAAGTTTGAGGCCATAGCAGAAGCGCTCATTGTGCGACCTGTCAGATTCCAACAAAATCTGTGAATTCTTCTACATAACTTGTCACAAGGACCCAAAAAAGGAAAGGATAGCAATTGACAGCTTCATGTGGGAGCTATTCCACTTCAGTTCTTTCTTCAGCTCCTGTTGGTCTCAGTGCTGTTTATTAGGTAGCCTTTCTTGGTCCCAGCCTTGCCTCCTAGTCTGATTTAGTACCATTTTCTCAGGCACTTGAAGATGCTTTGTGGTACCTCACTCCCCAGATTTTGGCGTACATTATTTCAGTCCTCTGACGTGTTTCTGCTTCAAAACACTTAGTGTTTCTCTGCCTCAAACACTTGATTTTTAATTAAATGTGTTGCAGTTTTCTAATTGAAATGTCGTTGTTATTGCCTGGTGGGTTCCTTCCTATAAGTTAGAGTCTGATTTTGTGATCGTTACTGATTTTATTGAATTGCTCCTTTTTATTCCAGGAGAGAAGGTTCAAGGGGAATACCAGACAGAGATTCACAGGTATGTTCAGTTCAGATGATGGTTTCGTAAACCACATAAATAGATTATGCCTTTCACTGAGGAAGAGCGCAGAGCGTGTTCCAAACTGATATACCAGGTTCATGTTACCTGCTGCTTAAATGCAGCCAGCACTGGCATAAAACGTAGCAGCTGTTAAATAAGCAACTCATTTCTTGCACTGAATGTGCAAAGCATAAATTAGTTGCTAACTAGGGCAGCTGTCAAAGATTAGGGAAGAACTGTCTCTAAATGATTGGAGTCACCATATGCACTCTTCTTTGTGGGCTAGTGGGTGAAAATGAAAAGTGTTCTGGTTATTGGTGTCAGATGTTTGTAAGTGTAAGTGGTAATTTATTCTGGCACTGTCATCATGAGCAGAGAGAGGTACTAGGAAGGAGTTCACAGCTTGTAGTCTACCTAAGTGTGCTATAGAAAATATGCAGTCCCATAACAGGGAAAGGCAAATCCGCACAAAAGCAAATGTGTGTGACAACTAGATCAGTACCTTGAAAACATGTTCTGTTGGCATTGTCCAAAGAAGAGGAGCAGAAATGAAGCTGGTTCATGTAAAGTTATCTAGCCCTAGTGTGACAATAAAAGGGAGTTGGCACCCAGAATAAACTGCTTAGCGAAGTAAGAGTCAGTGAAGAATAAAACAGGTAGCGTTTAAAGCTCTAGAAGCTCATGCAAAGACGGGCCTCATTGAGTCTTGCTGTCCTGGCTTGTGCTGACTTCTGATAGGCTATTCCAGTGGTTTAAGATTGTTGACTAGTATAGCTCTGAGAGGAAGATTATGGCATTCCTGTGCATGCTTTTTTGCCTTTCAGCATTATCCAGATGAGCGGCACGGAGGACCAGAACGCCATTCAAGGGATGCACGAGACAGTTGGGGCAGCTACGGGTCTGACAGAAGAATGAGCGAAGGGAGAGGGATCCCCCCACAGTCCCGGTTAGTACATGGAAATACGGGCCATCGCTCACCAGCACTGAACATGATAATGCTCTTTGAAACCTCAAACGTACTTCCAAAGAACAACAGTGGGTGCAGTTTTACAAATAAAAATCCTCTCCAGATGTTTTCATCGAAGGGCTGTTCTCCCTTGGATGGGCAAGAAACTTACACAGGTAGCTCCCTCGTGCATCGAGAATGTAGTGAGTACAGAGCTGCTAAACTAACTGCTCTGCTGGTAACAACCACTCTCTTGGAAGGGCTGGCTCTTCTGCAGATGAGATGTACTTCAGGCCCTTGTGCTCCAGACTCCTTTCAGAGACTCTCTCATGCATAATGGTCTGGGTTGACAACTGTATTCAGAGCAATTGGCTCAGAATCCTTATAGGCTGGGACTCCACTGGAATCCCAGAAGTTTCCTTTCAAAGACTTCAGTGAGCAAATTTATGCCACTGTAACTTTGAAGTGACATTCTTCGCTTAATGGATCTGCATTGCGGTATCAGCTCTTCATGTCTGTGTCGACCCATGTTGAGAAAATCCAATTTCCTTGTGGTGGGCTGGTTGTCCAGCAAGTTTCTAATTAGGGTTTGTCCAAAGAGAGAGGGGTGCTTATAAATATGGGGCAGGTAGAGATGTAGTTTTGTACATGATTTTAATCAGCTTTTATGTATGGGGTCTGGTATTTGACTTCACCCTATGCTATCAAATTGATGAGGGACCTGGAAGCTTTTCTTTTATTTTTTTTAAGAGATGGACGTGACTGGGGAGATCATGGTCGAAAGTTAGAGGGGCATCAAGATCGTTCATGGCAGGGAAATGTGGATGGAGGAATGATGGGACGGGATCATGAGAGATGGCAAGGTACACTTGCTGCTTACCAGCGTGATTGTGGTTTTTTCCTATGAATTGCTGCTACTGAACTTTTAGCGGTAGTTAAAATTCATACAGAGCTTTTAACAGTAACAGCATTACAAAGCAAGCAAGCAAAATTCTGGGAGCAAAGGGGGGTGGTTAAATTTTCCTATTAAAAATGCTTTTCTTGCTTTTTCACTAGGTGGTGAAAGAGGTATGCCTGGTCAGTCAGGACCAGGCCATGTGATGAATCGAGGAGGAATGTCAGGGTAAGAAGCTTTGTCAAGGGTTTTTGGTCCTCGCTCATCACTTCCTATTCTTCTAAATCCCACACTTGTGCACGCTTCTTTTAATTGAATCATTTGGACGTTCCAAGAGCTAAAAGAATTGTGCGTAGCCATGGAGAGCGCCAGCTCTTAGTCTCATTACCATTAGTGATGTGTCACTTAGGACAAGAATGTTCCAGCGGTTTTATCTGGCACACTGTATTTCAAGGATAAAAAAATGACTCAAAAGGTAAATGCTGCAAACTTAAAACAATGCGTTAACTTTCAGCTTATAAAATTCCTGAATGTTTGGCCTTGTTCTCTAGGCGTGGGGGCTTCATTCAGGGTGGAAACCAGAACCAGATGATGCAGAGTAGTGGAATGCAAGGGTTCGCAGGGCAGGACAGAGCAAACAGACCCAACGATCCACGCTTCACCCGCCGCTACTGAAAATTTTAATTTTCTTTGAATGCAAGATGGCGACAGTGGTGAATTCTGTTACCCAGGGTCACCGTCAATTTATGTAATTAAAGAAATTGCTGCCATATTGTAGCTGAAATACTATGTGAACTCATTTGTTTGTTCAGCTTTTTTTTGTAATAAATGTGTTCTTGTTCCAAAACCACTTAAGTTTCTGTTAATGAAACATTCCATTTTTCATAAATAATAAAATCAGTTTACAGCTAACACTTGTTTCCATGGTCTTTGGCCATATTCTGCCACAAGATAAGTATTGAAAAATATCGCAATATCTTTGTTTGTGTGTGTGTGTACAGAGCTCTCAGACAGATCTGAGTATGACGTACAGGGCATTAGGAAGAGTGAAAAGGAACTGCTTTTTTGCTGCACCCTAACCCTTTAATGATCCCCGGCAGACAGGACATCAATGTTATTTCACCTAGAAGATGCTGCCTTTAGGAGCTTCTTCCAACAAGAGTGTTTACTCCATTGTTGGCAGTGCTCCATTCATTTCAGAAAAAAAGCACCCCCCCCCCCATTAAAATCATCCAGAATTGTGCACACACCCATAGCTATGAAGACATTGAAGCAGAAAGAATGTCATTGATTGAGTCACTGGCAGCTGCCTCTGGGTATTTGGTTTCTAAATCAAATGCTGACCAGGCCTATTGGTGAAACTAAAGGTCAGATTTATCTCGCCTAAGTGGACATAGCACTACTCTGAGATGGAATAGTGGCAGGCCAGCAAGTATGTGCAAAGAAAACCGTATTGTAGTACTGAGAAGTACATTTCTGCTATATTATAAATTTCAACCTATGCTTCAGTGGGAGTAGACTGGCCTTGGGCAGGCCTTGCAAGTACTGAGCACTCAATATGGGAATAAATTATTTTCATTTGAGATTTTTAGCAGGACAAAGAGCTAAAGCTGCTACTAAAGACTGTAAAGACATTTCGGCCTAGATAATCTACTATAAATGTCCTTACCTGTGGAGGAGAGCCTATCAATTTTAACCACTAAAAATACCTGCGTTGCTATAAGGTCGAAAGATAATTTTGTAGGATCCGCAAACAAGATTTTCTTTGGATTTTTACTACTTAAATACAGTAACTTGGGAGTTGTGCTGATATGTCGTTGCTGTACTGTTGTCTGACCTTTGTTTTCAGTCTAAAGGTAATACCTTGAGCTTTCCCAATGCCGTGCTCTTGCTTTACGCTCTAAACAGAGCAGCCTTGGTGGTGAATTTCAGGTGATCAATATTAATGACAGTTAAATGTTTCAGTAAGATTGCAAGGTCTTGCATGAGCAGAATTACATTGCATATTTGGGATATAAACATTCTCAGTATGTGCCAACCTCAAATGCCTTATGTGCATGCAGATAGTGTTCTGTATAATTGACCATTTGCGAATGGCTCGAACTACAAGTCTATTTGCAGCTGAAATGCGTAATTGGAAAGATCTGTCCAGAGCTACAAGTTCTTGAATTCAATGTATAACTTCCAATAATCTGAGCATTAAAACCCTTGTCTCACTAAATTCTTCCATTAACTTCTTATAACAGCAGCATGCATTTCTGCAGCTCTTTATCTATTGCTGATATAAAATAATCTATTATTGCCTGACAGAATAGTGCTTTCTGACTTGTATTAGCTCATGCAATCCCTAGTGTATCAGGTTTAAAACTTGTTATTCTAATGCTATAAATCAAACCTCGTTGCAACACTACAGCTAGGGATATATGTTCATTAGCCCTTGTTTCCACGTGGCCATAATGAACAAAAACCTGCCCTTTCTCCTGACAGTTGTCATATTTGCCTGTGGGTGAGAAGTGAGAGTAACTTTTTTTTTCAGGCTTTAAAAACAAAGTAAGGGAGAGAAGAGGCTGCATTGAAACAGATACCGACTTGCCATTCAGGCAGCTTAAAACGTCACAGGGGGCCAGCTTACCAAAGGCAAGTACTTTTGCTGCATTTTCTGAGGCTGTATAGACAGCCCAAGTTTAAATAGGAAAATCACCGGGGCAGGATGGAAGTGGAGCTGAATTTTAGTTTATTTTCCACCTATTTAGACTGCATCACACCTGGTTCACTTGGCTCTAGAGGTCAAGCTGATAAGAAACAAATGAGGCGAGTGGCTTAAATGGAAAAGGAGTGAGGTTTTCCCCTGCCATCTTTCCCAGTGAGTATTGATGGCTGTCTCAAAAGCCGAAAAGTTGCTGTCTTGGGAGGCCAGGACCACAGCACTCCAGATGGACCCCATGGTCCAATCCCGTATGGCTGTTCTTATGTTTTAAGATGCTGAATTGGGACCTAGGAGACCTGGGTCCAATTTCTAGCTCTGCCACAGACAAATGTGTGTTCTTGGGTGAGTCGCTTCATCTCAGATCTTGTGTCTCCTGTGTAAAATGTGTGATAATCCTTGCACCTTCCCTTCCTCTGCCTTGTCTACTGACACTGGGGAAGGGGCTGGTCTCTTAAAAAAGCAGCCTGGACACAGGAGGTTTAAGCATGACTGCAGTACAGTGCATCTGGTTTTGGTGGCACTTGTGGTCGCAAGCTACAGCTCTGATCCTGCAGTTTGATCCGTGCAGTGGGACACATGGATCCATCAGGGATTCCCTGTGGGGGCAGAGATCTGCTCTTGTGGAATGAGAGTGCCAGGATGCCTATTGTGAAATGGAAACTGCTTGTGGCCAAAGACGGGTCAAATGCAAGCTCGGGTCAGTCTTGAGCATGATTGGGCTGTAAACAGCCACAAACAGCCTCTCCTGAAATACTTTGTAAGAGAAACTAATAGCTGCTTCCTTGTGTTTTCCCCAAACCCAAGCCATGGGCAGAAACACCTGCTGCCCAAAGAAGAGATAGCAAAATTAATTTTTCAGGCTGACTCCGTTGCTGTTAAAGGTGAATTTGAGTTAAGAGCACAGGGAAAAGACCAGCTCTGTTGCTGCAGTTTACAGTCTTGCCGTGTTACCTGCTAGACTGGGAAACCGGAGCTCAGTTTATCCCAGCCAGTTGAGAGGCCTTGCGCAGAATGTTAAAATAATTCATTATACCACAGCTTTGTACCCCTGACTATGCCACCAGGTGAGGGCAGTTAGCAGCCAAGTGGAGGGGAGGTACCACTTGGTGCCTCGTAAGGTTTTCTAGGGGATCTGATAGCATGCGCTGCCAGGCACAGTTGGTGCCTGGTAAGGTTTTTTTAGGGGATCTGATGGCATGCACTGCACTAGATTAAAAGACTCCTCTTTCTCCCCTCGTTTTCACCATCCGCATATGGGAGGGAGGTTTTTTTATGGGGCTTTGTGGCTTTAGCGCACAGAGAGGGCTGGAGGGGCCCATCTTTTGGGAAAAGCGGTTGCTTGTGAATGCAGGAGACTGTCTGGGGGGTCAAAGGGGCTTCCAGTTCTCCGTTCCTCTCTGCGTCAGCGGTGGGAACTTTTCCTTTAACGCAGTGGCACTGTTGAATACTTGTTCTCCGTGCGATCTGGGTTGTTGTCGATGTCTTGTGCCAAGTCTCATCCCCCGATGTGACAACTGATGTCCTGAGCTGGCAGGTGCTGCACACGCATCTTGGAATGGCAGTCCTGGCCACGAAGGCAGAGCCAGCAGGACCCTCCTTGTACGGGCAGGAACCAATAAAACACAGGCTCCAGATCTGGGCTCAGCTGGTCAAGGTCACAGAAGAGAATGGAGGCATCTGGCTCCCAACTTCCTCATCTGAGGAAGGGGTCTGTATCCCTGTCCCTGCTAATCACTTAGCAATAGAGCTGGTCCGGAATTGTTTAATGAAACGTTTTTCGTAGGAAAACGGTGCAGGAACGGAGGTCTTTTTTTGGTTGACCTCCTGTTTCCTGACCTATATGAGCTTCAGGACTGAAGCCTTCCTCCGACTGCTGGGCCCAAAACTCAGTACACTCGCATATTCAACAGACCTCCAGAAACTGGGGTTTTCTGTGCTAAAAACGGAGAGCTCTGGCAGATTTTTCCAAAAGGCCTCCTTTCCGCTTAAGCCCCTCAATATGGGTTTCCAGAGGTGTTTGGCTGGGATGACAACCAGGGGTCCTGGTTTTCTTTAATAAAAAGAATAAAAAATCTCCTATTTTCAGTTTAAAAAAAGTAACACAAAACCCACATTTTTCCAAGATTAAAATGAAACGCTGCTTTGTTATAGATGTGTATATAGTGGTGTTTCATTTTAATCGTGGAAAAATATGGATTTGGGGTGACTTTTTAAAGCTGAAAATTGGGGATTAATTTTTAGCAGAGAAAAACAGGATCCCTGCTGGTAACCCTTTGAACCAGAGTGGGCTGAGCTCTTTGGAAAAGCCGGTCCAGTCATCCTTCCTTCAGCAGTGGCTTGGAGTGTGAATTCCCATCCAGCAAAACTTACCCGGTTGCAGAGCAGTCCGTATGGGAACGGAGTGAAGGTCTCACTGTTCAGATCATTTCAATCTAGACTGCGAAAAGCACGGCACTGCATAACGTGGGAGACGCGCCTACGCTGGCAGGGGGGAAATGAACAAAGTGAATCCCCCTCCCAGGTAGTTTCCACATGCAGTTCGTATGGTTTGGATGGCCCAAAGATAAAGCAGCAGTAAAAGCTGATGGCACCACATATTAGAATCAGTTTAAAGAGCTCAGGCGAGGCCATAAATTAAAAGGCATGGCAGGGGCTGCGGAAACAATGGCAAGAGCTAATGAAACATATTGATGGTCATCATGGTTTACATTCACCCAGCACCTTTCTGGCCAGTATGCACGGCCAGCTAGAGGTATGTGTTGCTACTGGATAAGAGGGCAGCTGCTGCACGCTCGCAGAGCAGTGTGCGTTCGGCTAAGGACACTGGGCCTGTGTGCTAGGATATCCAACACCCAGCGCCGCAGCCCTGGCTCACTGTGCAGCACTGAGTGTCGAGCGATGGGAACGTCCCTCCCAGACATGCCAGTTAACTGTGCTTATAATGACTTGGGCTGGAAGCTGTTTGGGGCAGGGAGCATCTTTCCCAGCAGACTCCTGTGCATATGCATCGCTAAGTCTTTCATCCCGTTAGCATGAACCCAGGGGTTCTCTGCCCAACTTTGCTAAGCCTTACTCCATGTCTCAGTTTGCCCCTGTTGCCCTACACCCCTGGGGGTTTGATCCGAAGGTCGTAGCAGACTGCTGATAATAGCCCAGGAATCACCCTGTGTGGGCTCACTTCCCAACCCATCGGGGCTGGGCTGGA